CTTCAGATCACCTCTCTGTTCTGTGGGATTAAACTCTGGGCACAGCCATGGGAGGCCAGATCCAGGTGTTCTGTCCAGAGAGGCTGAGCACTTCCCACAGCAGGCGGGCACGGTGCCAGTGTTATCTTTACAGAGCCCATGCCTAAGCAGGGGACACCAGGAGGGAGGAGGAGGAGGGGAGGGAAGGGCAGCCACAGGCAGCTGGACACACGCACGCCCAGCCTGAGGACGCCACCGGAGACAGTGATGGCCAGGAAGGGCCCCGGGGCCAGCAGCTCTGGGACTGGTAGCATGAAGCCAAGACAGCGGTGCCCAGTGATGCCAGTGGAGGTTGGTGACAAGGGGCATCGGACGGAGGTAGGTGGCAGGTAAATCCTCTCCTGTGCTCTCAGGCCCTGGAGCGGCCTCGCTGTGGGCCGACTCCCCTGCAGTTCTTACAGGGCTCAGATTCCAGAGTTCTGCCAAGGCTCTGCAGATGCCCTCCACAAACTGGAGATTTTAAAATGCTAAGTTGATCTGAATCGTCCTTATTTGTAAAATATTTAGATTCATAAACCACAACACGTATTTCTTTAAAAGATAAAAATGTTACAGTAGATAATTTCTTCTGTTCTCCTTCTTTTGGGTCCTGGGGGTTGAATCCAGGGGTGCTCTACCACTGAGCCACATGCCCAGCTCTTCTGATCACTTGTTTTGAGACAGGGTCTCACTAAGTTGCCGAGGCTGGCCTTGAACCTCCCCGTTGCTGGGATCGCCGGTGTGTGGCACCACTCCTGGGTCAGAATTGTCTAACTGAGAAAGCTTAGTTGGTCATTTTCTGTTCCCTTAACAGCTTTGACTTGCCTATCCATTTTTAGGATATGCTTCAGACGGTATATGTTTAGGGACTCAGAAATCCATGTKCTGTGACCTCCACGTTGCCCTGGACACAATTAAAGAATCAATTTGTGAAAAAGCAGTGGGCTTCAGTGTCAGAAAGCCCCTCGTGTATGATCCTCACTCAGGACAGTTTGAGGATGTCACAGGTTGGCGGGACTCTCCGTCAGCCTGAGGGACGTCTGCCTACTTCCCCGCCCATCCTTCCCTGTGGCCACAGCAGTCCTGGGGCCTCCTCTGTCCCCTTGCTTGGCTCAGCTTCACCTGGGGGGTGGCCATTACATTTATGCCTGGTGGATGCTCCTGCGATGGCATGCTCTGGGCTCCTAGGATAACCGTCCACGAGCACCTTGCTCCTGTGGTCAGCCGAGGGCCTTCTTTGAAAGGTAGTGTTTGCTTGGAGATGCTGCCAGCTCTCCTTCTGCTTGTATGTGCGGTTACAGTGTCTGGCAGAGGGCTGGTGCAGAGTCAGGGGAGGGTGAGGCTCAGGTGTTTCAAAGGCACGTTTAACTGGATTTTTTTKTGTGTGCTGGGGATTGAATCCAGGGGTGCTTAACCACTGAGACACGTCCCCAACCTATTTATTTATTGAAAATTTTAAGGGAATAATTTGCTTAGGGTCTCAATAAATTGCTGAGGCTGGCCTTGAACATGTGATCCTCCTGCCTCAGCCTCCCAAGCTGCTGGGATTATTGATGTGGGCCACCATGCCCAGCTTAATGCAATATTCTTAAAGATTAAAATGAATGTAAAACAATCCATGATGAACAAATACAAACCTTTTAAAGAAAGGTGGGATTAAATAAATGTGAACACAGACAGGTAGGACCCTGGGAGAGCTTGCTGCCTCGTCCGGTGAGAACCCTGATGGGAATAGTAAGCCAGCCCTGAGTTCTGCAGAGATCCAGGACAGGCAGCCCCTGGGCTCTGCCCCCGTCTGCAGACCCAGCCTGCCACAGTCTCTCCCAAACACTTGAAGCAGCCCACATTGGAAGGCAGAGAGCTCCGCGGGCCACCCCAGGGCCTGCGGGATTCCTGAGGATGTCACGAGGCTGGCAAGGGCTGCCCAGGGGCGTCCTTCAGAGCCCAGCAGGCCGGGCCTCCTGCTCCTGTTGACTCGCGTGTCCACCCTCAGGTCTGTCTTTCAGGGCCTGCTACCTCTCGGCCCTTGCGACTGGCCCAGCACAGGGTCACCTGGCCCTGTTCTTGTAAACGAACACCGAGGTCCTCTCCAGTGGGAATGCGGAGCCCTCCCCCATGAAGGAGGAGCTCTGCAAGTCCCCCCTGGACGGGAGCGCATGTGGGGCTCCTGGACTGTCCCAGCAGGGCCACCCTCCTTTCTCTGGCTTCTCTTCCAGCCACTCATCCGGGAGTGCCCACACTGGTCTCAGCCTCAGTCTGCCTCACAGCCTGATCCTAGGTGCTGGCCACGTCATAGACGGACTGRGGACTTGTGGATGCTGAAAACATACGTGGCCCAGGACAGTCTTCGAGCTGCCCTGCCTGGGCGAAGCCAAGGAGGGCTCGCAGAGCTGGTGCTGACCCCTGGCCCATCCCTGCCCCTCCGCAGCCCAGCGGGACCACATTTTTCCTGCCTGCTTAGGAGGAAGGGGCAGGGGCTCCTAGCAAGAGCCTGGATTCCAAGCAGCATCAGCCGCCCTGAGTGGCTGTGGCCGCAGCACCTGGACAGGAGCGTGCTGGACAAGGCCATTCCCTGAAAGCTTTCCCGCCAACCATGTTGGGGACACCAGGACCAAACACCTTGCTGCAGAACCGGCATGGCCCCGTGAACCCCGTGATCTCCGCGTTCTGTGCGCTGTCTCTCGTGCTCCAGCACGGCACGYGACTCACAAGGCCCACCCCAAACTGTGCCCACAGACACTCCACAGTGGAGCATCCCTCCAGGCGGAGACTCCAGGCCAGAAGGAGCCAGGACGTGGCTGTAACGGCTGCAGCCACCACCTGCCACCCCTTTCCCTCACCCTGGTTCCTGTGTCTGGGATGCAATGTCCCAAGGCTGCCCTCGCCAGAAGCTGAAGCCACCTGGTAATGAGCCTTCTAAGAGGCTGGTCATCGGAGGCGCTGTCTCCAGGACAGACTGCACACTGTATGTAAACAGGGACTGACACAGGGGACTGAGGCCTGGAGGTGTCTTCCAGGTCCTTGTGCGGCAGCATTAGGTCACCTACAGAAGGTAGTGAAGGGACAGCGAGGGGACAGGCTGAGCCAACACACAAACCTTCCTAAGGTCCAACACAACTTGTAGTCAAGTCCTACAGTTCCTTCTTTCCTTGGCCATAAGAGAATATTAAAATGAGAAGGAGTCGCTTCTATAAAAGTTTTTTTCAATTAGTACCTATTTTTTTTTGTATCTGTGCAAGTTAATTTGTTATACTTTATGGTCTGTCTTAAAAATATACTGACATCTAAGGAATAATGAAAATGTGGTACATACAAACAATGGAGTACTACTCAGTCACCAAGGATAAAATCGTGGCATTTGCTGGTAAATAGATAGAACTGGAGACTATCATGCTAAGTGAAACAAGCAAGCCTATCCCGGAAAACCAAAGGCCAAGTATTCTCTCTGATATGCAGATATAACAAAAATAATAGGGGGTGGTGTGGGGATTGGACAAAGGGGAATGAAGGGAAGGGAGGAGAGATGGGAATAGGAAAGACAGTAGGATGAAGTGGACATCACTTTCCCGTGTTGATACATGAAGACACGACCAGTGTCACTCCACAACACGTACTACCACATGTACATGTGACATGTCAACTGTCATATGTAACTAAAAAGAACAAATAAAAAAGTAAAATATTTTAAATAAAGAAACTGTTGGAAAATAAAACAAAAACAAACAATATATATAGGCATCTGCTTCCAGTAGAAATTTTTAAAAGGATACCACTTAGTACTCTACTGTTTGTTCCACAGGGCCTCTGACATAATTGTGAAAGCATCTTTTTTTTAATGTTTTTTAGTTGTAGATTGATTGATTGATTGATTGATTTTTACGTGGTGCGAGGATTGAACCCAGGGCCTCACACGTGAGAGGCAAGCGCTCAACCACTGAGCCCCAGCCCCAGCCCCTGAAATCAGCTTTCATCTCTATTCTAGCTGTATTCCAGGTGCACATCCTGCCCTGCACGTGACGTCTCTCTGTTAGGCTCCTACCTGAGCCTGGTGACTTAGCTTTGGGTTCTCTCCTCGCTGACCCTGAGAGCCTTGGAGCTCAAGGGTGGACCTTGAACACACAGGTGTCAGACTGCAGCAGGGAGCAGGGAGGTGCTGATGAACACCTGCTGCGTTAACAAGTGCACGCCTGTGAGGGCGGGCATTCCCTTCTGAGTGAGCATCTGCCCTGGAAAGAGAACTGGCAAAAAAAATTGGTACCAGAAAATAAGGGGCTGAGCAGGAAACGGCTGTCGCCAACACCACATCTGCATGCTCCGGAATCCCCCCTTTCCAGCCCCCAGAGGTGTAACAGACATTTCTGTGGGCTACAAACCGCCCAGTTCGTGGTATCCTCTCCCAGCCACTGGAATGAACTAGGACACCGGGCCTTACACCAAACCTGCAAACTGCCCTCAGAAATGTGCGTGGCTCTGTCCCTTGCTTTACTGACATCACTTCTTGGCCCGGCGCTGTGCCTGGGGAGCAGCAGGCCTAGGAAAGCCCAGGCTGTGGGGCTGAGTCCCCTAAGTGACTGGCAGGCAGGGCTGCACCCGTCCCAGGCTGTGGTGGAGGGGCCGTCCTGTCTACGGACGGAGAGTGTCTCCTTGGCACCCCGCACTTCTTTCCTCTCCATTTACAGACTGGCTTCTGCTCCCCAGACAGGACCTGATGAGACGGCATGGGAGAAGTTCAGTTCTTTAGAAAACGTAAACCATTCCTATGTTTCCCCTGGGAGGAAGCGGAGATCTGCTACCTACAGAGGATAATTCAAGGTCAGGCTGTGGTTTGGGGATCATGGCAAAGCAGCTGGGGCCAACTGGTCCTGTCTCCCGTGCTCGTGAGCAGTGGCACCTGCCTCCACGTGGCGTGGGGACTGCTGGAGTGGCCGTCCCCAGAACCTTCCCTCCCCTGCTCCCCTTAACAGCTGGGGTCAGGTACTCACCCTTGAGGACAGGCCTCTCACCAAGGCTGCGGATGTTATAGGCGGCACTGGACAGATGTGCATCTGGGATGAGCTCTGCCAGCAGGTACCCGGAGTACCAGGCGCACATGGAGGCAAGGACCAAGAAGGCGGCCTTGACAGCACCTGGAACAAAGGTGGACGGTGAGCACTGCCACGGGGTGCACCGGGCGCAGGTGCCAGCCCTCTCTGCCCGCCCAGCCTTCCTTCCCGACCTCGAGGCGTGGCCTCAGCAGGCCTGCTCTGAAGGGGACTTCCAGGAGGGCGGTGCTCAGAGGGGGAGGCGGTGGACAGGTGAGGAGCCCTCAGCTGGCAGCGCTGGGATTCGACGCAGGCAGCAGATAACAGACAAGAGCCGTGTTGCCAGGGCAGGTTGCTGCACGGCTGCTGCGGTCGATGGGCCGTTGAGCACCCGGGGCCAGCACCACCAAGGCAGACCCGGTCMCCAGTCGGATCCTAGACCTGCCCACTGAAATCTCTGAGGGCACGTCTCGGTCTGTTGACTGTGGCTACGTCTCCGAGCTGGGAACGGCATGGCACCAGTACACACGCTGTAGGTGAAGGGCAGCCGGCCGTGACGCGGGAAGAGGTCCCCACGGGCATCCCATTGTCAGGGACACTCGAGGTCTCCAAGCAGCCAGTCCCTGGAGACACCTGTGCCGGAGAGCTCGGTGCTCTCTCTCCCTGCCGCAAGAGCTGCTGCTGGAGCTCGGCACCCCCAGGGAAAGGCCTTGCTCCCCGAGTGCRGAGCCCGTGCAGCCCTCAGAAAGAGCACGGGAAGGCCGGGAGGGAAGAGGGAGCAGGGAGCAGGCGGGCATGACAGGAGGGGGGCTCCGCTCCCAGCTGGTCAGCCGGGAGTGCGGAGGTCCCCAGACTTGCAGGAGCTGTTTCTCCCCACCCAGAGCCTCGAGCAGACGAGGCTCCTCACTGCCTGGGCCAGCTGTGAGTGTGCAGCCCTGGAGGCTGAGTTCAATGCTGAGCCTCCAGCACAGCAGCCCCCGGCTCCCTCCCTGCACCAACCCTCTCCCTGCACTGGGCCCAGGTTCCACTCCCCAGGGCCCGGCTGTGGGCCTTCCCTTAGCACTCAGAGGCCCGTTCACCCTGCAAGGACCCTGGGGCAGGAGTCCAAGCTCCCAGGGAGCCATGCTGAAGGACTGACGCGCCCGGGGCCCCTTGGGGTTTTACTGTCCAGTATGCCTTTCAGTGCCAACTCCTTTTCTGTTTTCAAACCACAGTCTCCAAAATTATTGGGACAATGTGCAGGGCTGGCTTTTGTTGGGAAAGGCGGTAGCATGGCCATGTCTTTGCCAGGGATGAAGGGACATCTCAAAGCCAGAAGCAGCCACGGAAAACAAGATGAGGCTGAGGGCTTGGCAGGCCCTCCCTTGCACCTCCCCAGGGCCAGTCACTGTGGGCACATCACTGTCCCCAAATGCTCTGCAGTCCTCACCCCTTGGCCTGCAGAACACTCCCTCCACGCCGTCTGTGGTAGAGCCTGGTGGCACCCTGGGAACTAAAGGGCAGGATGTTCTTGAAAGTTCTTTTGGGTGGACCATGTGCATGGACAGGTGCAGGACATGTCCAAAGACAGCAATAGGTCACAGCTGGCCGACTTTATCCAAGTGGCTGAGAAGACAACTGGCACTAAACAACCTTCAGAGGGTCTTCCAGACCCCATCCCACAGCCTCTTGCACCATGAGCTGTTCAGAGCTTGGAGGAGACAGTGGCCAGCAGTATCACTAGGAAGGTATAGATTGTGTTGTGGTTGAAGAGCGCCGCTGGTGGCCTCCAGGCTGGGGACAGTCTAGCTTCCAGTGATAACAGGTGGCTGATGGCAGAAAGCGAGACCTAGAGCCAGGACCACCTCTAGGGTGGGAGAGTAGACCCAATAGCACCCCTGGAATTGTCCACCATCAGAAGGTGGGCACACACCGGGCTGAGACTGGCTCTATCACAAAGGCACAGAAGTGTCCCAGCCACCAGGAGGACAGGACCAAGGAGCCAGCCCAGGGTGGATGAGACCAGGCAGCTTGGGTGTGTTTCCCAGGGCTGCCTTAGGAGTGCCAGAGGCTGGATTGTGAGGGCTAGAGGTCCCAGATCAGGTGTCAAAAGACTGTTCCTCCAGGGCCACTCCTTGGTCACAGATGGTGTGCTCTGCTGGTCCTCACGGGTTGTCCCACTGCGTGTGTCCTGATCTCCTCTTCCTACCAGACACCAGTCATATTGGACGGGAGCCCACCCTAAGGTCCTGATTTTAACTTAATGACCTCATGAAGGCCGMGTTTCCAAAACACAGTCCCATCATGAGGTTAGGGCTTTAGCACAGGACTTTGGGTGGAAGCCACCGTTCAGCCCCTAACCCAGCATTAGCCTGGTATCAGGCAGGCTGTGGCCTAGGCTCTCTGTGGACTGGACAGGAGGTCCGTCCGTGGGTGACAGCAGAATGGGAAGGACCGGAAGCAGCCTGTCAGGATGAAGGTCGGGACTCAACTGAGCACAGTGCCTCTGGGTAGGTGGGAGGCCGGGCCTCTGAGAGGCTGCTCTGTAGACCAGGTGCTACTCTGGTGGGAAGGGCCCCAGCAGCTGGGGCGGCAGTGCTGAGTCTTGGAGCCCTCCTGGACTCTGTAACCAGGACCTCCTCTCCTCATGTGATTATGCCGCCGCCACCGGCTGGTGGCAGTGTCCCGGGAAAGCGCGAGGAGCCTCAGAGCTCCTTATCTAATTCTCAGTTCACAGCAGTGATGYGATCTGAGCTTCTCAGAGTGACTGTTCTCATGGCCACACGCTCAGATGAGGACAGCCCTGGTGTCCCTGGGAGCTTTGTGTGAAGGGACCACATGGCTCACAAATGAGTCACGAGGGCTGGGTGTGAAGAAGTGGAAGGTGAGGGAGTCCCAAGACCCAGAAAGGATGGAGACGCTCTTCCGACAGCTGCAATGCGTCAGTGCCTGAGGGGGGTGCTGAAGATGCTTCAGTCCATCACTGACCAACAGGACACATTCTGAGGAGCGGTGGGTCTCTGGGGATCTTGTTGTTATGCAAACATCATAGACCTCTAACTGCGACTCTGACTCACTAGGCAGCTTCACGCTGTGTGACCTTATACAGGAACACGCATGCACGTGTCACCACCATTTGCCCCACAATTCACAGCAGTCAGCAAAAGCAACATTGTTCACCCATAAACAGTTTAGTTTTGTTTTTTTTAAAGAAAATAACTTTCCACAAGAAGGCAAAACCTTAAAGTGTGGTTTTCCTACATTTRGGGATGTAGGCTGTGCTGTGGGCTTTCTGGAGTGGACACTGGTGCTGGGAGGGTCACCCTCATGCAGAGACGGACTCAGAGGTAGGGAGGTGACCCCCCAAGGGAAGCTCAGAGCTTGCCCTTCTGAGCTGCCCATGTTTGCACAGGGCTGTGCCCTGTTCTCTCTCCCCTGGAGGAACCGGCTTCCTCCTCTGGTAGCAAGAGAACAATAGCAAAACCCACTAGAAGGGCAGGTGAGCCTCRGGGGACGACCAGTGGGCAGCAGCTGTGAGACCCCTCTGCTCTGAGCCACAGAGTGGCTGGTGGAGACAGTGGGTGCCCCCCTCCTGGCTATCTGTCTAAATCTCTGTAGYGCCAAGAATTTGACAAAGAGCAAACTAAAGACAGCCCTATTTTAAAAACTGAAATGCCATGGGGACTGTCACAACCAGCCAGGGCCAGGCATTTACTTCTCATGCCACCCTCAGCCCCCTCCTGCCAGAAAGGCTCCTGAGGGTCCCCCGCACTTTCCACAATCCCTGGGCTGCTCAGTTTGAAAGGTGGCCCCTGCCYGGGGGAGTCCCCAGGAGCCCCAACCAGTGGGGAGCCAGCCCTTCCTAAGGTGGGGCACCCCAGGCCCCACCCAAAGGCACTCAYTCCTGGCGGCTGCAGTGTGCCGCCTGCCTGCCCTGGATAAGGTGTGGCTCCCCGGCACCAGCCCCAGCAGAGTGGCAGGACTGGCAAGAGCCRCAGGTTGGAAATACCAGCCCAGCCCCTCGGAAACCTCAGCCCCTTTGGCGCTGAGACCCTAATTCTGATCTGGGTCTAACAGGAGACGGTGCCCCAGCCCCCACCCTTCTGGCTCAGTGTGGCACCTCCAGAAGGGGCAACAGGTGACTCCCCTGCTCTGGGTCCCTTCCCTCCCACACACTCGGAGGCAGAGGTGGGGTCGCACTCACCAGCAGCCACAGGGCGCATCTTCTGGGTRCTGCTCCCGCCTGCCTGGTCCTGCAATCTGCAGGAGCCACTGACTGGGCAGCAGGAAGGACCTGTCCTGGGGACCGGCAGGAAAGGGGCGGGCCAGTATTAGCATGCTCAAGGTTCAGCTGGCAGGTATGGGCTGGGCAGGTATGGACAAGCAGTGCACCAAGGGGCCCGAGGGCTGACAGTGCTGGAGGTTAGACACGCCCAGCCAGGCCTGGGTKACCAGAGGCCAGAGCTGATAGGGCCTGGGAAGCCTGGCAGGGTTTGTAGAGGGAGGACACAGTGCCTCTTAATGCTGTGTGTCCCCAGGCTCCAATTTAATGTCCTACAACAAAAAAACAGGTGCAATGCACACCTGGCTGAGCCTTTGATACTCAAGGCAGAGTCCCAGGATCAAGGTGCCCTGCACCCAGGCCCCCGTTAGAACAGTGMACTCCCAGGCCAGCTCAGTGCCCACCTCCTTTACTGATGGCAAACTAACTTCAGGGAAAAGAGCAAGGCTAATACCCAGCTTCTTGGCCATAGTCAAGGTGGGCAGTCCCTTCGGTTACAGTGACCAGGGAATCTCAGAGCAGGGGTTGGGCAGGCATGCGGGGGAGATAGCCCTGAGGACATCTGGACATTAGCAGGACAGGGATTTCCTCTGGTTACCTACAAGTCCACTTTTATTCCCAGCACCCACCTGGTTTTTATGCTCCTGACCCACTCTAATCCAGAGGCCGTGGGCCACGGGGGGCAAGTCACGGGTCCAGGGGAAGCGGGCATGTTTGCTCAGACCTCCTGGCTTGGCAGTGCTGCTTTGCTCCCATTTCTCCTCTCCCAAGAAGCCCAGAGGCTTCAGCCACATGACACACAGGGTCCTGGACCACCTGGATCATCCCTCCCCCTGCGGGTTGTCACAGGTGCCGTGGCCATAACCCTCCCTCCTCTGCCATCTTTGCTCCCAAGGGGCCCCCATAGGGCGCCATCCAAGAAAACTGGGGACCCACGTCTTCAATTCATGCCCACAGTTGTCCCCCTAAATCAGAGGGCAYGATGACAAGAGTCTTCACAGGAAGCAAAGGTCCCGACCTTGGGCCTGAGCCTGCACATTTCCTCGGGATGCCGCCTTGGACTGGTTCTGTGCAACCTGTGAGCTGCCCTGTCCTGCCGATGCCTGCCGGGCAGGAAGCAAGCTCTCCCACCACGCTCAACTTCTCTCTGGCTCAGAAGTGGGGCTTCTATCTCAGGGTTTGTTTTTACTTTTTAAAAAAATCATAGTAAAAAAAAATGTATCTGACATAAAATCCACCATCGTTTTCATCTTAAGTGTACAGTTCAGTAGAGTCAGGCAGGCACGGTACTCATCTCCAGAACGTTCTCATCTTCAGAAACTAAAACTCTGTCCCTGCTCAACAATGACCGGCCACTCCCTCAGTCCCGGCCACTCCCTCAGTCCCGGCCACCCCCTCAGTCCCGGCCACCCCCGCCCTGAGTCTTCCAGAGGCTCTACATAAGAGAATCAGACAGAGTCTGTCCTCTGTGACTGGCCTATGTCAGCAGCTTAAAGACCTCGTGAGTCTGAGTAGAACCCCTGTGTGTGTGGGCCACTGGGGGCTCAGCCATTCTTCTGGCCACAGATGCTGGGCGGCTTCTGCCTCCTGGCGACCTTGCGGGATGCTGCCCCAGGGAGGGAAAGCATCTCCCCCTTCCCCKCTCAGACCTCGTGGGATGCACTCAGAGGTGGCACTGGGGTCAGGGAGCCATTTTCTGAATTTGATTGTTTGAGGAACGGCCTGTGATTCTCCCCAGCGGCTGCAGAGCTGTGCGATCCCTGAGGGCAGTGGGCTTGGTTTCCCCACATCCTGGCCCACACCTTCTCCCCTTCAGGCGTCCAGTGGGATGGCGGTGAGGAGTGCCTCTTCACAGACCAGACTGCATTTCCCTAAAGACTGGCTGAACCCCTTTTCATATGCTTGCTGGACACTCATTTCTATGAGATCTTTCGAGAGACAGAGCTCATTCCAGCCCACTTTAAAACCGGGTTTACTGTTTGTGGCTGTTGAGTTGCAGGAATCTTGGCACATACTGGACACTAACTCCCCATCAGACATTGCTGGTGACCGTGCCCTCCCACTCTGGGGGCTGCCCCCTCACTTGCTAGTGTGCCCTGCAGTACACACAGGCTGTGCAGTGACCTGGGGCCCCTCTAGCTCTGCTTCTGCTGCCTGTGTTTTTTGGCATCACATCCAAGAAACAACTGCCAAACCCAACATCCTGAAGGTTTTCCTCAATGCCCTCCTCTCAGKAGTTCCAATACACGTCGATGTTTAATCCATTTTGTGTTGACTTTTGCCTTTGGAATAAGGAAACAGTACAATTCCGCACTCGTGCACACGGGTCCCACTTTCCCGGCACTGTTTGCTGGGGTGAYCTCCTGCCACTGAGGGTCCCTGGCTCCTGGGAAGGTCCCTGGACCCCACAGGCCAGGGTTTGTCTCTAGCCTCTCCCCTCTATCCCACCCATCRACGTGTCCATCTTTGCGCCAGTTACACACTTCTTTTGACCACTGTAATTTCGTAATGAATTTTGAAAGCAGGGCACACAATCCTCCAGCTTTGATCTTCTTTCTCAAGATCATTTCATTTATTTGGCATCCCTTGGGGAATTCACCTGTTTACAATGGATTTTTATATTCCGGGGGCGGGGGGGTTTCCAGACCACAAACCCAGATGTCTTTCCTTTCACCTGTGCCCTCTGAAACTTCCTCGAGAATGCTTTCTCCTTTCACCTGCTCCGCTCAGTGAGGGCTATATTCATTCTGCTTCAGTGATCCTGTGCCCAGAGCCTGTTCCCCATTCTCACAAGGTCTACGGCAAACTCTTCCTCAAGTTTAACCTAGCAAACTCCTATGGCCTTTAAAAAATATGATATAAGTCACTTTTCTGGGGACTCTAACTAAGGACATCTGTTTTAAAAGCGGAAATGCTATGATGGAGGGTGTAGCTCAGTGACAGAGTACTTGCCTGCTGGTGTATGTGAGGCCCTGGGCTCAATCTCTAGCACTGAAAAAAAAAAAAAGAAAAAAAGGAAATGCTGTGTATACTCAGACAGGTGAGGAGTGTAAAGAAACCTGTAGTCAATAAAGGCGGACAGACTGGTGACATAAATAGTGTCTAATCAGTGGAAACTTTACTCCGGAGCTCATAAAGTCATACGTATCAAGATTACTTGTAATATATAGGGGAAGGTACATGAAATGCAATTAAGTGAAAAGGTACAARTAAAAGCAGACAGTTATGTGCTCAAAGAGTAGAAAGAAACACAAAACAAAACAACAACAACAAACTCTTGCACTTCCCAGAGTATCCATGATATTTTTTAAATGAAAAAAATAAGTGTCTAAGTGTTGGGGGTTTTCATCACTGTGACAAATACTCCACTGATGGAGAGAAGAGACTGACTCTGGCCYCTGGCTTCAGAGGTTCAGTGCATGGTCAGGGGCCCACTGTCGCTTGGGCCCGTGGTGAGGCAGACATGATGGCGCATGTATGGCGCAGGAGGTACTCACCTCCTGGTAGCTGGGAAGTGAGAGTCCCCAAACCCTCTACAAGGCACGTCCCCAAGAACCTAACATTCTCCCACCAGGTCCCACCTCCTAAAGGTTCCCCTGCCTCCCAAGAGTGCTACAACCTGACCACCGAGCCCTTGACACATGGGTCTTTGGGGCACATTCAAGATTCAGACTGTAGCAGTGCACTGAAGAGTCCTATGTGCTGCTTCCAACCCACCCTGCCCCTGGGCCCTGGCTCTCTCTTCTTCTAAGAGCACCTTCCCTGCCAAGCCTATTTCAGTGGATTCAACAAGCTGTCACTCTGCCCAAGTCCTAGGCTCCAAGCCCAGAGTGCCCTCCCCAGACTACGAACGTCCCTTTGTGCCCTCAGAGCTGTCTCCGTGCCTGTAGCCCACATCCATGATCCAGTCATTTGGTCCCCATGCTCACGACCTCAGGTACACCCCAGGCCCCGACAACCAACACGTGCCCCGTCTCACTGGGAGGCTGGGGCCTCAACACATTAATTTGGGAGGCAAGGCAGGAGGGACACAACTCCGTCCCAGCATGATGCCTTGGAAGCCACCCTTGATTCTGGCTAAACCCACGCATTTCCCTCCCTGTTTCCCCAGGAGGTGCCTTGCAGCTAGCTGCACGCCCAGTTCCATGGCATCCCAGTCAGCACACACAGACTTTCCTTGTTCTTAACTTCTACGTTCTGTTGTTGAGATAGACCACGATTCTTTAAATAGGCCTCCAAGAGACATTTTTGCTTATATTTGGTTTTCTGCAATGTAAACAATGCTGCCATGAACACCTTTGGGCATCACCTTGGCATAAACCTGGGGTAGATGTAGAATAAATAATAAGAAGTGGAATGACTAAATCCAAGTGTGTGTGYACTCTGGATTTTAATTAATATTTCCCCTCCAGAGCAGTTAACCACTTCCCTCCCTAACCAGAAGCCCGAGAACTGCCCATTGGCCTAGACTTCTGGCAACTGTACTTAGAAATCTTCTTCACATAACTGGGGAGGTGTGTTAAGTGCTTTACAAACAGCTCTGCCCTCTGAACAGTGAGGTGAACGTCACCGAGTCCATCAGCTAGAGAGCCTTTTGTACTGTGCTCTCCAGTTCACTAACTACCTGTTCAGCTGTGTCTAATCTGCCGTCAAACCTGTGCTCCAAGTTGTTATCATCATTATGTCTATAAATTCTAGAAATTCTACTTGGTACTTCTTCAAAACGACTATGGTACTATATATATATATATATATATATATAAAATTAATTTTGTTTCCTATGACAGTCATCATCATCCAGCCAGCTAACAGCATGTGTCTGAAAGTTCTAGCAGGTCTGAAGGCTCTGCCAACTTCCTCCTCTCCCAGCCCAAGGTTTCCTGCTTGACCAGTCGTGTGCTGCTATGGGGAAATGTCAGGCTGGGTGGCTCGMACAGCCCA